TTTGGCGGGCCCGTACGTGGGTACCACGCGGGTTTTGGCGCCAATTTTGGGGATGGGGGCCCGTACTTGCATGTAAATTATTGTCCCCAAAGTTTTTCCCCCGTAGCTTTTGCCGGTCTCGAGATGAAAAATCGGTACAGAGGCCCAGCGCACACACAGACACATACACACACACACATACACACAAACAGACGCACAGACAACCTCTCGTCAATATGCGTTTTTCGCATTGCATTGCTGCAAAAAACGCACAAAATGTACATGTTCTTCATTTGGCGCCCATACCTGAGATCCAGGCATATGCTAACGTAATTTTAAGAAGGAAGGGTTCATACTGGGCTGATTCACCCCTTCATACTGGGCTGATTCACTTGTTCGGATGTAGGGTTTAGGATGGATGTAGAAATCGTAAAACTGTAGCCGATGGAAAAGTTGCCAGTGGCAGACGAAGATTTGAACTGTGACTTAACAGCTGTTCCAAGTATCTCAGACACGGCGCTGTTAACTCATTTATGAGTGGAGCTGAAGCTAGAATACACGTGTAAAATGTCACTATCATTTGGCTGAATTTGCATACCTTTCAGCAAGTCCGCCAGGAGTAAGATGCGATATCAAAACTGCTTCGTTACGCTCTCCGCTGGATGCAATCGTTATTCCCAGTGGTCCTCCTTTTCGACTTAATTCTATCGAATAAATAAGTGTCTTCACTGCATCCTCGCTATTCTGAATACAACTATATTAATAACTTTCATAAAAGCATAGCTTTACTAAATCCCAAAGATTGGCCTATTTTTGGAGGCTATATTTAAATAACACCAAATCAAAAAAAGAAATGCGTTTTCCCATCACAAACCTGTTCTGGCGCACCAGCCTTACGAACTCGTAGTTTGACGATTTCACTGGATCTTTGCAATAGTCGCATTGCTTCCTCAACTGTACATGAATCCAAAATGATATGATCGATAGCAAGTATACGATCACCACAGTGAAGTGATCCACAACTGCATCACATCAACCGATTGCATACTAGTCATAAGCTAACTTTCGTTGCTTTCCCCAACCTCCTTGCTTCCCCCAAGAACAAATGGGCAAGTCGAACCAAAAAAGTCTTTCCAACTCCGATCCTCGAAATAGGGAAAAGAATCTTTTCACGCATTTTTATGTGTGCGTATTGTCGAAAGGTCGTCCGTGTGTGTGTGTGTTCGGAAGCGAGCGAGCTTTGTCACTCACTTTTAACTCAGCAACCAGAAAAGCTGGAAGGCTGAAACTTTGGGCATATTCCTACCCCAACTGTCATCCTCCCGTTTTAATGTCATCGCACACACGCGCATAGATCTCGCGTGCGGGCTTCCAAAAAAATTTTGCAAATTTCTATTGTGAGGAACGATTTTGGGAACCAGGCAAGATAGAACGCTGAAACTTTGCAGGGGTATTCTATGTGTTTGCATGAGCTAAGGATTTCAAACTCAGTCATCGCGTACGCTTGTGCAGCGCGTATGGTCACGTCAAAATTTGTACTTGGCACTGTACTAACTCGAAAGCCAGTCGAAAAGCAGTGGCTGAAATTTTGTCAGAATATTTATTGTCCGTATGGGAAATTGTATACCTAAATTGAGTCCCGATTTACACCTGCGCCACGGATTAAGACACTTCAGAGGTATTTGTAGAGAAGTGACTATTTCGCTTAGCGGATAAAGTGTAAGGTTGAAACTTCGCTGGGATATTTTGCTTTCATGTCTGACCTTAATTCAATTTGGAGGTGAAATTCTCCGCAGGTGGGTATGAGAAACACTCAATTTTATCGTAAATTCAAGAGCGAGTGCATTTTGCAGATTTCATTACTCTCATTCGACTTCCTTCAAATTTGCATTTTTTCTATGAACGAGCATTTATCGAGAAAACGACCGGGCTTCATGCAGAAAACTGATAATCATGTAAGCTAGAAGTCCATGTGGTTTTTTAACGCAACACTTTCATCCCAGCTGACGCCCTTCACCTCTGCATGTGTGAAGAGGTCG